TTGTAGATTCACACCCAGTTCCAAGAAATAAGGTGGATCTTGTATACCCTTTTCCCAGTTTCCCCATGGTAACATCTTGCAAAACTATAGTATATCACAACCAGGATACTGACAATTGAATACAGTCAAGATAGAGAAAAGTTCCGTCACCACAAGGATTTCTTATATTGCCCTTTTTTTTTTAAAGATTTATTCATTTATTTAAGAGAGATTGAACGTGTGCATGAGTAAGCGAGCAACCGGGTAGGGGCAGAGGTCGAGGGAGAGAGAGAATCCTGAGCAGACTCCCCCCTGAGCACTGTCTCTCTCTCTCTAAAAAAAAAAATCACAGATTGCTGGGTACCCCTCTTAGAGTGTCTGATTTAGTAGATCTGGGCAAAACCTGAACATTTGCATTTCTAGCAAGTACTCGGGTCATGCAAATGATGATGGTCCAAGTGCCATACTTTGAAAGTCACAGCTCTGGAGTATATAACCTAAAAATGGTATTGCCGGGCCATACGTTACAAGTATTTCTTCAACAATTAATAGACACTCCCAAGCTGCCATCCAAAGTCAATGTACCCTCAACTAAATTTTAAGGGATAAAAGAATAAACCACCCAAACAAAACATTTAAAGTATGGAGCAACAAATGTAACAAAGAATGTCGCAACACGAAAGAGGAAGTGCTCTGAATTCTTGTGGTTGGAAGCAGGGGCAGGAAGCTTTTTAACAGTAATATTTATGACCTCTGATATCTCCACACCAAAGCACAGAGTATGAATGATGAAGTAATTTTGAGATTATCCCAAGAAAACAAATAATACTAGGTATGTATAGTTTATACTATACTGAGATATCGTAGAATAGGACTCGTGGCAGGAAGCAGCTCTAGGAGAGTATTCTTTCTTCCAAAGAAATAGAAGAGGGAGATAAGGTCCTGAATGTCAGTTCTCAGCTTCATCTATCACTCCACTCCCCTCTGTTCTCCGTGGCAGCCACCATGGCCTCTTTTAGCTCCTTGAATGAAACCTCCTCCCTCCTACTGCAGGGTCTTTGTTCTTGCTGATTCCTCTGCATGGAACACTTCCTCTTTCTATCTGTCTGTACTCCGACCCAGTTAATTCCCATTTATCCTTAAGGTCTTAGGTCTAATTTTACCTCAATAGAAAAACCTCTAATCTTCCAGACTAGATCAAATCTCACCATCATAACTTCTCAACACATGATGCATCTCTCCTTCACAGCACTTATTACAGCTGGAATTTTACATTTTACTTGTGCGTTTATAGGATTTATGAATATATTACCCTCCAGCCTCATAATCTCTAGCAGGGCTCGGCATGTGTCTTTTTTGAGCAAGCATTGTAACTTCAGCACCAACTTTGTCTGAAAAAGAGCAGATATCCATATATATGTGTTGGATGGTTTAAGAGTAGGGTTCTGTGAAAGCCTTTAATGAATCTGAGATTAAAAGTGCAATGGGAAACATTCTGAAGAGGAAAACAGGAGAGGAAATGGAAGTACTTTCAGGACATCATGCACTAGCTTGTCACAGATGGCAATGATGGGCTTCTGTTTGAACAACCAATTCAAGAGGACTGGCTACTGGATCTCTGATCCCCTGGAGAAAAGTTTCTATTGCTGTACAATAGGTTCTATAGGAGGTCCAGTCATATTCAATATTTGAACAAGACAAGACATATTCAATATTTGAACAAGACATATACAAACAAGACATGTTGTTTGCAGATGATATGAAAGTTAAAAGGTTTACAATATAGACTATGTCAGAATTTAGGTTAAAAATAATACCAATGGAGCCTGGGTGGCTCAGTCAGTTAAGCGTCCAACTCTTGATTTCAGCTCAGCTCATGATCTCAGGGTCATGAGATTGAGCCCCATGTCGGGCTCCGCGGGGGGCACGTGGAGCCTGCTTAAGGATTCTCTCTCTTCCTCTCTCTCTCTGCTCCTCCCCAGTGCACCTGAGCTCTCTCTCTAAAATATCACTCTCTCTCTCTAAAACAACAACAATAATAATAATACCAATGGAAATACTAAGCCAAAACAGGTAAGAGAAAGGTTAATCAATCTTGCAAATACATGATATGGAAGGGAAGCTGGGTTTGACTATATTGTTTATGTAAAAAGAAAAAGACTTGATTGCTGACCACATATTCATTATGAACCAGTGTTGTGATTCAACTGGTAAAAATGCTAACTGTCCAGAGGAGAGGAGGTGATGGGCTCACTTTACTGGTGGACCCTCAAGCACTGTGTCTGTCTAGTTCTTAGAGCCAATCTGGGGCCTGGAACCTTGAGATATGAAGAATGGTTAGAGGAGCTGGAGAAGGTTAGCCTGCAAAAGTAAACATTAAGGGAAAACGAAAGCTGACCTCAGATAGAGACAGCCCACCAAATTTATACCTCCAATTTCAGAAAAGATATTCTTTTTAAATCTCTCATGATGTTTTATTTCCACAATTTCTGATAAATTCTTTTTTACATCTTTATGTTGTTTCATTTATTCCTATTTTTTTTTTCATAATCCCTGGTTTGTTTTGTGACTCTTATGCCTTCATTTCTTTGAGGATTCTTTGAAAAAAACACATATTTTGTTTTCTGTCAACCCACTGTGTTTTGGGGGGGGGGGGTTGTTTTCTTTTTAAGCCAGAGAATGGCCTCTTTTCTCTTTTCCTATAGATTGTTCTACTGCTTTCATTTGTTTGAGGTGATTTCACTTTTTTTGTTTGTTTCTTTTTTGGTGGACAGCAAAGCAAAGTTTATTGACAGTACAAAGTTCCCGAAGAGGGAGGGGACCCAAGAGCATTGCCCATGATTTCACTTTTTGATTATTGATTTTGTTGCCAGTATTTCTTAGAAATATTTTCCTTCATCCTTTTCTTTCTTGTCCTTTTCCTCTCTTCCTTTCTTCCCCTTCCCCTCCCTGTGTAGTTGTTTACTTTTCTTCTGTCTGGTTTCTGTGACTCCCAGTCCAGAGCAAGCTAAAATAGTGGAGTTCTGGGCTCCTGCCCCATGGTGCTAGTAAAGAGCCAGCCAATACACCTGCCGGCTGGTTGGTTTGGTTGCCTCCTAGGTACTTGGCTTGCATGGAGAACATTTATTCTGTTACCTTCACAGAAGCCATACTTCAGGTGGCCTCTACCTGCTTCTAAACTGGTGGAAGTCCACCAGAAACTTGGTTTTTGCTTCTGTTCCATTTTTTCATCCAAGGAGAGGTACAGAAGAGTACATAAAATATATATGTACAATTTTTAAAAGAATGATAAAGTGAGCACTCATTGTAACCACCACTAGCTATGGGTCTTTTACACTTTCCTCTTGCTGTCATGAGCTTGGAGTAGTGGGGCTCCCGGGACGGGAACCAACAATACCATCTTGATAGAATGCACCTGTCCACTCTAACTGCAGGTGGTGCTCCAGAAACCTCTGTGAGTTTCAGTTGCCAAACCCCTGAATCTTAGGATACCCTGATCTCTTCCAATGTGGCTTTGTTAGCAGCCCGAACACCTTATAATTATTTAGCCCCAGTACCTCCCGACTATGTGTGGTTACCATTATTGCCTTTTAAATAATTAAACAATTATTAACTCAAGATGTTTACAGCTTCTTCTCCTGACAATATCTTGTCAATTCAAATCTGTGAACTCTCTATGTATATATTCCACCTGCAAGGAAAGACAGGGTCATTTTATACATTGGGTATATTGCTCTTGTACTTAAGGACTAGAAGCTTTCAAAAATCTCTCTCTCTCTCTATATATATATGTATATATATGTATGTATATATGTTGTAAAATTGGAATGGATGTTTATCTTCAAAATTAACATTGCCATTAATTGTTCAGTTAGGATTGTACACATTTTACATTTTGTAGCAATTTGAGGTTAGGTTTCTTTTTTTTTTTTTTTAAGATTTTATTTATTTATTTGACAGAGAGAGACACAGCGATAGAGGGAACACAAGCAGGGGGAATGGGAGAAGGTGAAGCAGGCTTCCTGCCAAGCAGGGAGACTGATGCCTGGGATCATGACCTGAGCCCAAGGCAGACGCTTAACAACTGAGCCACCCAGGCGCCCCGAGGTTAGGTTTCTTATTTCACAAGAATCTCTGATCGTCTACAGATGTCAGAAATCAGCTAATTATAAACTATATTAATTACTTTTGGATTAAAATTTTTCAAGTGCAAAAAAAATTTTTAAATGTTTACAGCAAAAAAAATTGTTTTTAATATAAGTCTGCATATACCTTAATGTTCGATGTGGTGTGGCACTGGACCTCCAGCAGTGAGAGACTTTAAAAGGGCCTTAGGGAAATGGAAGGCGCTGAAATGAGGCATAAGGAAAGGAGATGGCAAGATGAGAGTTCTAGGGGAAAAGGAGATGCTCAGAGGCTGCTGTGTGCCAGTGCTGTTCCAAGAGCTGAGGATCCAAAAGTAAAAGTCACGGCTCTCTAAGGAGGGCACAGTCTGGTAAGGAAGCAAGTTAAGTTCAATGAAATGAAGTGTTAAAAGTGTTACTGAGGAGGTGTGCGGGGGCGCCTGGGTGGCTCAGGTCATGATCCCAGCGTCCTGGAATCGAGCCCCGCATCGGGCTCCCTGCTCGGCGGGAGGCCTGCTTCTCCCTCTCCCACTCCCCCTAATTGTGTTCCTGCTCTCGCTGTCTCTCTCTGTCAAATTAATTAAAAAATCTTAAAAAAAAAAAAAAAAAAAGGTGTGCGCACTGGCGGGTCAAAAAGGTGTGGCGAGTACTCCCATTGGGATGGCAACTGGGAAGCCGTCTTTGAGGAGGTGACACTTGATCGGAGGATTGGCAGAGGGGAGAAAAGCGGTGAGGGGTAAGATGAATGAACATCAAGAATGAGACAAGGCAAGGAAAGAAAGGGAAAAGAGGAAGGGCTCGATGAGATCGACGCTCCGGCATCCGGCGTCGACTGCTACGGTCTGCGCGCGGTCACCGCCCACTCCCTTCCATCTAGTCCCCGCCCCTCCCCGCGCCTCCACCGCCCGCCCGGCCTGTGCGAGCTCTGAGGCTGCCGGCTCGCGGCAGACGCCATGTACCGGCTCCTGTCAGCCGTGATGACCCGGGCCGCGACCCCCGGGGGCTGGGCCTGGGGCCGCGGAGGGCGCGGGGCCCACCAGCGCGCCGGCCTGCCGCCGCTCGGCCCTGGCTGGGTCGGGGGTCTCGGGCTGGGGCTGGGGCTGGCGCTCGGGGTGAAGCTGGCGGACGGCCTGAGGGGCGCGGGCCCCGCGCAGCCCCCAGCGGCCCCCGACCCCGAGGCGTCGCCCCAGGCCGAACAGCTGCCGCCGCAGGAGCAGCCTCTGGCTCCGTGGTCCGCACAGACCCCGACGCCGCCCCCCTCCCGGCGCTTCGCCAGAGCCATCGACAGCAGCCGCGACCTGCTGCACCGGATCAAGGTGCGGAGACGGGGGCGCAGGCGGCCGGGAACCTGGCGCCCCACTGCCCGCGTCCCCTCGGAATGGGGCCACTTGGTGGTCATCGCCCGGGCCCGAGCGGACCCCACCCCAGGCGGTGGGATGCCCGCGGCCGGCTTCCGAGAAGGACTTCCCGTTCCCCGACCGCCCGGCCACGGTCAGAAGCTCCTGCGGGTTGCCCAAGTCGGGGCGGAGGTCACACCGCCCGCCTCGGGCACCGCCCCTTCGCCCTCCGTGCAGACCAGGCACGCCCCTCGCCGTTAGCGCCGGGCCCGCCGCCGCCGAGGGGGGCGGGGCCGGGCGGAGGGGCGGGAGGCCCCAGAGCCGCGCTCTGTGCGCCGGCCAGGCGGTTCGGCTCGTCTCTAAACTGTCCTTTCCCTCCGGTCTTAGGATGAGGTGGGCGCCCCCGGCGTGGTGGTTGGAGTCTCTGTAGATGGAAAAGAAGTCTGGTCAGAAGGTGGGCTCGGAAAAGTGTGATTCGCTGGCTTGTTTTATGCCAGTTGATGAATGAAATTTTGATGTTTTACTGCTAGGAGTGGATCCCCTGAAATGTTCAGTTTTCGTGAAGCCGTGCGTATTGTAGAGAAAACATGTCTAACAGAATAAAGAATCGGGCTTTCTGTAAACAGCAAGATTTAAATGGGACTCTTGGAGTCTTCAAGATGGCTTGTTTCTAAGGACTGGATTTATTGTTCTGAAAGTTGTATATAGAACAATCTGTTACCTGCATATTTGTAGATAACCCTTACTACTAGATAAAACGTCAGAAGTTTGTTTTCTTTTTTAATTAACAATTTAATTAACAAGTTACTGAGCCCCCTATCTGTTAAATGCACAGTACCAAGAACTAGGGCCATTCGTGGTTCCTTGTCTTAATGAGTTTACGATCTCCTTTATTACTTTTTTTTTTTTTTTTTTTTTTTTTTACCGGGCAGAGGTGTCATTAATGTTTTTCATACCAAAAGTTAGAAGCCTTGGGAAAGAGATTTCTAATCATTTTATGATAATTTTATCAAATCATATTTTATAATTTGATTTACTTACCCATTGCACACAAATTGGTCTAACTGGTCATCCCAGGTTTTTAGGAACCCTACTTTTAGGAAATGTTTCAGGCATCATTTAAAGGAATTAGTACCTTTAAAAGAAGTTGATGGGAGCAATAAGGTTTTGAATTTAAAGAAAAATGATTCTTCCCCCAAGTATACCCAATTTATGAAAAATAACTGTAATCAAAAACTATGTAAATGTCAGCTTTACAGGTGAGGGCTTTGTTTTTCTGCAAATATTTTTCAGCATAATCTATATTTACAGTTTAAAAGCAATCATTGTATGCCTTTTCGTCCTTTTTAGATCTCAGTTCTTATCGCTTAGATTTTCACACTTTCAGCCTCCAGATGATGAAACCAGACTTAAAAAGTTCTCTAGGAACTTTGAATTAATAGTACTTTTTTTTTCTGGTTTGCAGCTGAGGTAAACTGATGATTACCTAGATTGGGTGTGCGGGACACCTTTTCACATTAACTTTTATTGGGTGGTTATTTTAAGGAATCTAGTGGAAACCCAAGAATCAAGAGTAAATATAATCTGAAGAATAATGATGTTTTCTTTAAAGAACATAAAATAACTTACGTAAAATGTGGGATAACTAAATTGTCTGGATAAACTAAGAAAAATTAGTATCTGAACCAACAGAAAATTACTATTGTGCACAGAGTACAATTTCGGTTTAGTTAAAAGATTAAGTTGTTAGGTTTACTGTTGTCAGTGTTACTAAGACTCTCATTCACTCTTAATTAAAAGTGTAATATCTTTTCCTTTCAACAAACACATGGGATGTTCTAAGATAGTTTTATTTCAGTTTTTAAAGACTCCTTTGACCATGAAGCTTGTTATTAGTAATTTTTTGCTTTTCTTTCACTAAAGGCTTAGGTTATGCTGATGTTGAGAACCGTGTACCATGCAAGCCAGAGACGGTTATGAGAATTGCCAGTATCAGCAAAAGCCTCACCATGGTTGCTCTTGCCAAACTGTGGGAAGCTGGAAAACTGGATCTTGATATTCCAGTACAACATTATGTTCCTGAATTCCCAGAAAAAGAATATGAAGGTGAAAAGGTAACGAAACTCACAGTTCATTCTACTAACAGCATGTTAAATGGTTTAAAAGGTTTCATAAGATTCTTTGGTTTGTCTTTAACTGTTGTTAATGGATTCAAGGGGTTTTTTAAAATTCAAGTGATAATCGATTGAGTATTTCTCTGAAACTTAAAGCTGAAGATGTGTACGTGACATGTTTTTCAGCAGCAGTTTAAAATGGAAAATATTACTGAGACATTATTCCAATGCAACTAATTTTTTATTTTAATTTTTTTTAAGATTTTATTTATTTGAGAGAGAGAGGGAGAGTGAGTACAAGCAGGGAGAGAGGGGCAGAGAGAGAAGGAGAAGCAGACTCCTGCTGAGCAGGGAGCCTGACATGGGGCTCCACCCCAGGACTGGAGGACCATGACCTGAGCTGAAAGCAGATGCTTAACCTACTGAGCCACCCAGGCGCCCCTACTAACTTTTCACTATAAAGTTTAATATTGTAATTGAATTTCCATGTTTTTACAATTAGGTTTCTGTCACAACAAGATTACTGATTTCCCATTTAAGTGGAATTCGTCATTATGAAAAAGACATGAAAAAGGTGAAAGAAGAGAAAGCTTACAAAGCCTTGAAGATGATGAGAGGGATAATGGAATCTGACCAAGAAAAAGAGTTCAAAGAAAAAGGAGGCAAAAGTAATGAAAAGAGTGACTTTGTTAAAGCTAAGATAGAGCAAGATACTGATGCCAAAGGCCGGAACTTAAAACCTGGCAAGAAAAAGAATGATTTTGAACAAGGCGAATTGTATTTGAAAGAAAAGTTTGAGAATTCAATTGAATCCCTAAGATTATTTAAAAATGACCCTTTGTTTTTTAAACCCGGTGAGTGTTAATTCCTTCTCTTAACAAAGTCATCATTATTGAAGTATTAATTTTCAGAAAACCTGAAATGATCCCAGTCTGAGGGCATTGAATGTGGTTGATGCTTGTGGCATGGGTTTTGTTGTCAGTCCCACGTGTGCCTTCTTGTCTGTAGTTTTTGAAGAAGCCTAGCATCCAGGTAGCCAGTTGTTTAGATTTAGCCTCATCATTCATCTAGTGGATTTTCCGGATCAAGCTATTTGTGGAAAATTATGGAGAAATGTTGTAATAATTGTTCTTCAAGTAAAATCTGGACCAAAGAGGGCATGATAAAATATTGCTAATATGCCAGTATTTAGTTAGTGTTTAATTTAGTATTTAAATTGCTCAACTTATTTTGTGCCTTCATTCATTAAAGAAATTGGGTTTCATCCATTTATTTGCCAAAAAGCTGATCTAGAAAAATATTTTTTAAATGTATTTTTTTGGTATGATGGCTACCAACACCACTTAATATCTTTCAATTTACCATAGGTTTATGTACTTGTATTCCATTTTCATTTTAAAAGTTGTTTTTTTACCATGAATAGATAATAGGTAAAATTAATAAGGTCAAAGAAATATATTTATGGATTTTGTCTTAAAATATAAGGTTCCAGTTATTAGTACACATCATATACTCTGTGTTTCCAGAATCCCAAATGATATACAGGTATGTATTTGAAATAGTATCTATATTTGAATATGTATTTGTATTTTAATATATATTTGAAACAGTTTTTCTACCTACATACACTTTTTTAAAATAGGAATGTGCACAACTAATTTATGCCTTACACATTGGGTATTAGATATATTAAGAACAAGACCATTAACTCAAGAAATCAAATTTGCTTTTCTTTCCCTTCCGCTTTTGGTACCAGTTTGAAGGATTTTAATTTAGTTTTGAGGTAGGGTTTATTTGCTTATTTCATTATTATGGAAAGGAGTAGATTCACATTCTGATCATCTTTAAATAATGGAATAAGCAGGGCCATTGCAAAGTTGACTAAATTTATTAATATATCATCCATGATCTGTTTCTAAATGCTGAAGTAAAAAGGTAAAGATATGTCAATTTTCAGTGGGAAATATTTTGCATGTTTTTAAATAATAATGAAGCATTTTCTTTTCTTCCCCTCCTTTGCAATGATGTCTCAAGGTAGTCAGTTTTTGTATTCAACTTTTGGCTATACCCTACTGGCAGCCATAGTAGAAAGAGCTTCAGGATATAAATATTTGGACTATATGCAGAAAATATTCCATGACTTGGATATGCTGACAACTGTGCAGGAAGAAAATGAGCCAGTGATTTACAATAGAGCAAGGTAAATGATACCTTTGGTGTGTCTCGCCATATCACATTTTAACACTGTGTTGTACATTAAAAGTCAAACTTTCCTTGTCTCCATTCCAGAATTACACTTGCCACATTTTGAGAGCTTTCCTACATGTCTGTTTTTCCCATCTATAAAGTAAGGGAAATTGAATGTATTTACAAAGCACTCCAGGATCCTTGGATGAAAGACAGCAATAATAATTTAAACTCATGCATAGTTAAACCAGAATTGCTCCTATCATGGGTATCTATAATTTGCTCTTCCATCATCCCTTTATATATATTGTAGCTAATACTTTGTTTATCTTTTATTATTTTTAACTTTTTTTTAATTTTGAAATGATTTAATACTTAAAGATAAATTATAAGACTAAATACAAAGAATTCCCATATAGCCTTCACCCAGATTCCCCAAATGTTATTGTTTTACCACATTTGCTTTCTGTTATTTTTTTTCTCAACCATTTGGACATAAGTTGCAGACATGGTACCCCTTTACCCATAAATAATTAAATGTGTGTTTTTTAAAAATAAGGACATTCAGGAAACTAATATCAGCACAATACTTATATCAAATCTACCGACCCTCTTCAAATTTACCAGTTCCTCCAATAATGTCCTTTATAGCAAAAGAAAAGGAAAAAAAAATTTTTCTGCTTCAGGATCTAGTCCAGGATCATACAGTACATTTAGTTGTAATGTCTCTCAGAAGTCACATGAAGTCGATTTGTCCCATTACTTGTGGTGGTGATTTAATTGCTTTGTTGAAGTGGTACCTGCTAGGTTTTCCCCCTGTAAAAGTTTGAGTCATTTCATTGAAATATATCAAACTAAAATTTTATCATAATTTTTTCTAGTGATTTGTAAAATGGGCATTGGGAGAGAATTTTGAGACTAATGACAGTTATGAGTTATGTGGTTATGTTTTCCATTTTACTCATTATTATTTGTTTCACTAGAAAGGTAAGGCATTTAACAAATCAAATGTTACTTTTACTTTGCATATTTTTCTTAGTACATGCTTTGCAAATGGCTTAATGGTACTTGAAATATAATGGTGGGATTATTATTTAGCTTTATCTTCTTATCCCCGTTAGTTTTGTTCAGTCTTCTGTTATATTTAGTTAAATTACTATTTTTAAATTACCAGTTTATTTAAAAGGATTAAATATGCATTGCAAATCAGCCTGAAGGAGTTTTTGGGGACCTAAAAGAAATTAGGTTAGCAGCAAGCAATGAATTTTAATTTTAAAATGGCCTGTAGTTCTCAAACCATCTCAATTAGTGTTTATTATTTTTAGGTCCAACATTACATTCTACTGGAAAGGATAAGAAAAATTGACAAATACCAGAGGTTGCCAGTTGAGTCTAAAAAAGATTCTTTAGTAAAGATGGCATAGATACATGACCTTATTTTGATTTAGATCTAGGTATTTGAGAGCGGATGTCTACACTTACATGTAAGGGAGAGAAGAACATTAGGTATAATCACTGAGCTGCTTTTCTAAATTGAAAATTAGGACTCTTTGAATGTACAGAACTGCAAGGCAGTTTGCTGTTTTCTTTTTTTTTTTTTTTTTTTTAAAGATTTTATTTATTTATTTGAGACAGAGAGCACATGAGAGGGGGGAGGGTCAGAGGGAGAAGCAGGCTCCCCGCGAGCAGGGAGCCCGATGCGGGACTCGATCCCGGGACTCCAGGATCATGACCTGAGCCGAAGGCAGTCGTTTAACCAACTGAGCCACCCAGGCGCCCCCAGTTTGCTGTTTTCTTAATGAGTAATTTATGACTTGCACAAAAATCAAAATATGACATATGATGGTGAGTTAATTTCATTTTATCTCCCATTCTTTGAAGAAAAAAAAAAAAGGCTGTGGGTTTCCATTTCTTCTGCTAAAGGTTCCTATCAGCTCTGAGTTTGTTAGAAGCACCCAGTGGTGCTAAAGGGGTAGTTAATTCATTTTAGTTACATTAAATGGCCTGCTGAAAAAGGGGACTGAAAAAGGAAAGAAAGAATGTTACCTGTGAAAATGGTCTGTCCGGTTGCTTCATTTTTATTTTACTTGATGCAATATCTACTTGGGCCTCTAAAACTCAACTCTGATTCTTTTTTTGTTAGTAATTATTTTAAAAGAGCTTAAAGGTGCCAGCTTTTTAAGGGAGTTCAGGGAGTAAAAGGAAACTTCAAAGATACATATATTTAAAAAAAAAAACCTTAAAGTAAAACTTAGTAAATACATATGTTCCTATTCATTTATGTTCATCATTTTGCAGGAAATAAAATTTCCAGCAAAAGTTTGCAGCTTTGTTAGTCTGCTTACTCCTTGATAATTATCATAAATTAAATATATTTGTATTATCCTAACGTAGGCTTTTTAGAGTTATTGTAACCCAAGAGTAAATACTTACCATCTTTTTGCTCCTCTGTGTGTGCCTGTGTTTAAAACAATGTGTCCCAATGTCTGTCACCTTTTTAAGGTATTTCCCTAGAATCCTGACCCAAAATACTACTTACATTTCTTTGGCCAGAATTTTAGCAACAGGCCACACTTAGCTCTAAGAGATGCAGAGAAATTAGTTTGTAGCTGGGTACAGTGTTGTCCTGAATAAAACTGGGATTTTCTTAAATGGAAGACTAGGAATTGACTTAGTATACACAAATAGGTATATTGATTCTATATAACAAGTATATTGTATAGGCAAGTAAACTAAATAACCCTTTAAGCAAATACCCATGGGGGAGTGGACTGAATATTCTTGCCACTAAAAGACACTCTGTTGTTAGGGGAATACCTGGTCAATGCATCAGCTTATTTTTAGACTCTGTTCATATTTGCTGTGTTTGGCACAATACTTGCAACAAAAATGTCTTTTATAATTGGATGGAACCAAAAGCAAATACAGTGGATGTTTCCTGAAGTGTTTGCTGTATTCTGACAGTACAGATATGGTCTTTACTTTCTATTATTATCTTTATGATTATTATTTATTATCTTTATTTGCTAAAGTGTCTTCTAAAATTAAGCAGTGTTCTTTTTTTAAAGATTTTATTTAGGGTCGCCTGGGTGGCTCAATCGTTAAGCATCTGCTTTCGGCTCAGGTCATGATCCCAGGGTCCTGGGATGGAGCCCTGCATCGCATCGGGCTCCCTGCTCCGTGGGAAGCCTGCTTCTCCCTCTCCCACTCCCCCTGCTTGTGTTCCCTCTCTCACTGTGTCTCTCTGTCAAATAAATAAGATCTAAAAAAAAAAAAAAGATTTTATTTATTTGACAGAGAGAGTGCATGAACGGGGGGGTGGGGGGGGAAGGGTGGCGGGTAGGGAGAAGCAGGCTCCCCACTGAACAGGGAGCCTGACATGGTGATCTCAGGACCCTTGGACCGTGACCCAAGCCGAAGGCAGATGCTTAACCAACTGAGCCACCCAAGTGCCCTAAGCATTGTTCTTTATGAAGCTCTTTTCTATGCCATTAGCTGATAGACTCGATAGTAATAGGTTCAATCCAAATGTTAATGCTAAACGTTAAAGTGGGCTTGGTTTTTATTATACACATTTTAAATTCTGTGGGTTTTTAAACTTCTCATAACAATAAAACACAAACAGTACGTAATTATTTCTAAAGGCATTTAAGAAGCATTGTAAAAATAAAAGTAATTTGAACTTCTAAGTTTGTAGATGTAGATTTCTGTAGTTATATAGTGCTCTTGTGCAGAATCTAGAGATTCTTAAATAAGTAAGAGGCTCTTTGTTATCTGGCATCATTCCATCAGTTATTCAGTTACAGAGATGTTTCAGTAACTTACTTAAGAACTTGTGTCTATATTGCATTCTTTTTAGAGCAGAAATGCCTTAAGAATTTGGAATAGTAAACTTATCTTTTAGCTGAACAAAATTATTTTCATGAAAAGCCATTAACTTGTCCTCTGTGAAAAGGAATCAAGAGATTAAAGCACATAATTTGTTTATTTAAAGTTTAAAATTCTAGATTGAAGTCTAGAATTCTCCACATTTTTATACTTTAAAGGAGGAATGACTGAGGGTGTCCTAATTTCCAGCCTTGATATAAGTGGTTTGGAATGCTTTACTCTTTGGGGTTTTTTTTAAGATTTTATTTATTTGACAGAGAGACACAGCGAGAGAGGGAACACAAGCAGGGGGAGTGGAAGAGGGAAAAGCAGGCTTCCTGTGGAGCAGGGAGCCCCATGCGGGGCTGGATCCCAGGACCCTGGGATCATGACCTGAGCCAAAGGCAGACGCTTCATGACTGAGCCACCCAGTTGCCCCTGGAATGCTTTACTGTTAAAAGAAATTTACACAAAGCTGATTATCAGCCAAAATATACTGGTAGTTCTCTCCTAGTTTGCAAACTTGGAGTTCACTGTAAGAAATATATTTGTCAGTGAGAAAATGTATTTTTATTATGTGGTTTCTTCTAGATTTGATTGGCTGGAATTAGAAGTGTAATCAGAATGGGGGCACACCTAGGTAGCTCAGTCAGTTAAGCTTTCAACTCTTGATTTCGGCTCAGGTCATGATCTCAGGGTTGTGAGATTGAGCCCATCATAGGATTCCCCACTGGGTGTATAGCCTGCTGAAGATTCTCTCTCTCCCTCTGCCCTTCCCCTGCTCTTTCCCTCTTAAAAAAAAAAAAAAAAGTGTAATCAGAGTTCAGGCAGAAAGTAATGACCTAAAATATGGGAGAGGCCATAGGAATGAAGGGAGGGAAAAAGGTAAGTCACAAAGCAAAGGTTGAATAATAGGATTTAGTATCTTGATGGATGTGAGAGTTGAGGGCAGAAGAGTCAACCAAGATTTTTTTTTTTTTTTTAAGATTTTATTTATTTATTTATTTATTTCCAGGGAGAGAGAGAGTGAGTGTGTGTGTGCTCACAAGCACAGGGAGCGGCAGGCAGAGGGAAAAGCTGGCTCCCTGCTGAGCTAGAAGCCTGATGTGGGACCTTATCCCAGGACCCTGGAATCATGACCCAAGC